GAAGACAGAAATCTTCATACTAAGAATCGCCCTGATAATGGAGGCAGTATGACCTCTGAAACGTTGGTAACCATCGACCAGACTACACAGCGCAACAACCCGGAAGACAGTAATCTTCAGACTCGCTGTGGTGAGATGAAGAGCCCGGAATTTCACAGGGACTCTGATCCAGTGGAATGAAGAAGTGTAAGCCTACTCACTGCGCGGGTAATTCTTGACGAAGTGCGCCTGATACTTGGTGTCCAGGAGAGAGGATGGCGGAGGTGCAGAGTAGAACTCTGGAGAGCTGTCGATGTAGGGGTTCGGGTGGTGATTGCCACCGTCCAGGGAGTGATATTCGTGGTCTGGAGGATCGTAATGTTGTCCCTGGTGCTGGGGCGTCACGGTACTGTAGCTCACTGCACCACCGGCAGATGGTGGGTCGTCGGTCCCCGCAGATCCGCCAGCCAGGTGTTGCATCGAGCTGTCCCCCAGTTGATTGTAGCCACCTGCAATGTTATTTTCACGTGTGTACGCTACCCACACGTGACGACAGTGCGAACAACTTACACTTCAAACTAATGCAGGCCTTTTCAAATAGAAAGAGCGTGTTCCTTCGCCACGTAATCTCCTCCCAAAACAGTCAAGTGCCCTCACTTTTATATAAGGAAAAAATTATTTTATTGGAAGCTAATAATGAAAATATCGCAGCTATGCTTACTAAAACGTATATTATTTTGAAAATTACTTACGGACTATATACAATGTTTTAATTCCTTGTGCCACATACAAAGGTGACCGCTGACTTGTGTATTAAGAAACACGCCTACACATTTCACATAAAACTTTTTTGTCCTCCCTAACTTCTTAGGGGAAGAAGACGCAGGCTGGATAGGGCGGTTACCCGGGGCGCAGGTTACAAGGACGTGAAACGACCACTGGCAGGAAATTTCATTACCTAAATACAAAAGTCGATTGAATAAAAATTTACTTGGATATTATCCATCGTCTAGTAAATATAAAACGTAAAACGACGTTTCGGAGATGGGACTCTATCTCCGTCTTCAGGTTCCTACACAGTTGGGCCCACTAGATAGAGCTAATCCCTATCTCCGGACCGAAGACGGAGATAGAGTCCCATCTCCGAAACGTCGTTTTACGTTTTATATTTACTAGACGATGAATAATATCCAAGTAAATTTTTATTCAATTGACTCTTCACCATCGTCAAGAAGTTTTAGATTTGATATACAAAAGTCGATGTTGGGTTGTAACGCCGTATGGGTAAAGATGGAGGCAGCATTTGCCTTTTAAAAGTTGGTAGCACTCTAACTACAAGCAAACACAGCGTTACTACCCAGAAGACCGTTACCGACATGTGAACCTTTAATCTCATTGTAAAGAGCCATCACTGACGTCGGTGTGAAGCTGATTACGGACTGCTAACGAACCGAGGGGCTAATTCTGTGCGTTTGTTATTTCGTAGCCAGAAGGCCAACTGTTAAAACTGCTGCAGATTTTCTTGGGTTTACAAACTGGGTAAGAAGTGGAAGGGACGCCTCTGGAAGAAGATTTAAGCCTGCGTTTCTTGAATTAATAACCAGAAGATGTTACCTTCTTTGAGCTGGTACACGGGACTCCGGAGGTGGATGAAGCCTGAAGACGGCGGGGCAGCTGGTGGAGGCGACGCCTCATCGCGACCGCAATCCGTCGTGGCGTCTCGCGGCGTCCCACATACCGCGGGACTCCGCAGGTGACTGTAACCTGCTGAAACAAACAGACGAAGCCATCATGTGACTATGATCGCAAACGGACGGACACACAAACAACAGCTTCACTTCAAATGATCTTACGGATCAACAACTGACAAGACATGGCCGAATAAAGTTATTCTTGACGACAGCCGTTTCCAGAACTGAATATTATTTTCTCGTCTTTATGTAAGCCTAAGTCTATACGTTGTTTCCGGTTTACATTGTAGACGCGATCCTAGAAAAGGCGACGTCTTATCGAAGCAAAGTCAACTGAATTACTCAATCCTGTGCCGCATTTCTTGCTCGAAGAGACGTGACCATCCCCTAGCAACGATGTTACAGCGTAACGACGTAAGTTACATAAGAGACTGCACGTCTAAGTAGGAAACTCTGTAATTTGATATTAAACGGCTGAGGAGTAACCAAATAATCCGTGGCAGTACCACAGACAAGCAAATAACAAACTAATAATAACGTTCGTATAAATTTAACTTTAAATAACATTTCTGTTCCCCAGACAAAAAAAAAATATGCTCGGACAATTAATATTTGTGGGGGAAACCAACTGCTTAACCGAACTTAGACTGTAAGAATCCCGACTTAAATGTCAGATTATCTTAAAGACGAATCAGACGTGGATGAAATATGCGCTGGGTTAAATGTAAAATTCAGTGAGGATGAAGAAGACATTGAAAAATAACACCCAATGTAAAATTGGTCCTTTCGTGAGGCGAGATTATTTTATCAAACAGCAGCAGGGCACTGACTTACGCCGTTATTTAGGGTCTATAAAGTAAATTCGAAGTAAGTTCAACTTATTTGAAAATGGAAGACAGGCTGAACCAAAGAAAATTACTAACGTCAACAGCTTAACAGATGTATAGAAATTGAGATCCATCTTTTGTGTCAAGTGAAGCTGTCAACTCTTCGAAGCCGAAGCTCATCTAAACAGTGTTTAAACTTTCAGTTCCTACCGAAGAGAAAACACGAAACTTCAATATTACAGAGATAAACTGATAGATGTTTTAAGTAAAAGTCGTATGAAATCCACAACACACTATGTGGGCAAAACTCAACATTACCAATTCCTTTAAAAGGATTTCCGTACTGCAGATGGTAACGATTGAGCTAACACAAGATAATTTAAATCACGAACTTCAGTTACTAAAGCTACTGCGAGTAGGCCTAGAATACTTCACGAATTACAAGGCCAATAAATCAACTTTCTTGGGACTCTGCATCCCGTTCGTCAGAAGCGCCTCGCATAGTCTCTTCTCAAACTAAATCACCTTCCAATCAGAAAACAAACCTTTAATCGGTAATAAGACAAATACAAGTTTTGGACGACAACTTGGCTACAGTTTATACTTATCAGGACACGCATACCCTAATATTCCTTAAAACTACAAATAAAGTAACCTGAGGCAGTTTGGCCAGGCTCCTAAGAATTTGCGTAAGAGACTTGTTTTATCCACGTCACATCTGGCATTAACGACGAATTCTGGGGTATACACTCTTCTTGCACACGGAGTCTTATCATTGGTTACGCCTGGTGAGTCTATTGAACACAACTTCCTCCAGAGCATTGACGTCAATGACTCACACTTGCGAGTTAACAACGCCCACAGCTAGATGAGACATGGCTCACAAAGGAATTAAAACGGGGAGGCTTTGTTTTTTAGATTTCGTTAAAAACTGGCTCAGGCGACATTGTCTTCTCACTGCAGAGACCCAGATTCAGTTCAGGATAATTTCAAGTGAGATTCGTGGTGGACAAAGGTGCACCGGAGCTGATAAGACTTGTCTTCTAGGATGTTGCGCCGTGGAGACTGGTAGAAAATTTATCCACAACTTATCCTCCTGGTGATGGAGGCAATAAGGACCTGTGAAACGTCGGTCAATATTTACCAGACTACACGGCGCAACAACTCAGACCTTCATAATCGCCGATGCAAGAACATCAAATTCATAAATGTGGTTAGCCTATCAGTAGCCTGTACATGTTTCAACAAAATAAAATGCATGCATCTTCTCTCTTACATGCTACGTGATGCATGTTCCGCCAGTCTAAACCTATTTTAAATAAACCCGTAAGATTTTAGAACAGGAATGATTAAGTTAACTGTGTGACAAATGTCAAACTGCAGAGTTGCAAATTGCTAAATTGTGAAAGTCTTTAACATGCAGTACTGACTGACAGCCAGTAACAGGCGTAGATCAAAGTTACAGGCAACAAGAAACGAGGCCCGTCAGTACACAAACGTTGGAATGCAGATAGTCAATATTGGTGAACTCATATTGACAGATACGGAGATAAAAGTGGCCGCCCGCCAATAAACCCGACAGGGGAATGCGGAGCAATGTGAACGACATTCAGTTAGAAACTAAATTACATGCCTACTATTATTGAGCATATAATTCGCATAAACTTTGGATTGTTTTCTTAACAGCAGAAAACTTTAGCTGGAAAACCACATAGAAAAATCCCACTTGCGAGGGTGGCGTTAAAACAATTCTTTTTTATTCCGAGCTTTATGACAGGGAACGTCTTCATCATACGCGGATATACAGCCTATCGCAGTGTTACTCAACCGGTGTGCCGCTAATTTTTATATATAAAAAAACAATATTCTCACGACACATTTACAAGAACGTAATCCTTATCTTCCATCGATAGTTTTATTAAACATGCGTTATGTTTTCTTTACATGCATACATTTTTTATTTATATTTAGACAAATTTATGGTCATGTATTGTTTCGTACCGACGTTTCGTGAGACATCATTTGGTGGTGTGCCGTCACGTGTCTTTGACAAGACGAGACGTGTCGCGGGTAAAAAAGGTAACTGAACTGAACGGTGCCCGAAAGACCTACCTCAAGAACGACTCTGCATATAGGACATCTTCTATATTAGAAACTGCATATCACTTTATAGGCATATACATTACTTAGGCCAATTATAATTAACTTATATGAAACTCTGTCATCGGGCACCATTCAGTCAGGCTAACAAAGGCGATAAACAGACATATGCAAAGTCGTGGATTATGACCTCAGCGTAGGAAAATAATATAAATTAAGCTCTGTTGAACACGTAAATGTAGTAGACATCGACAAAGGCCAGGGATCGATTTCGTATTGTCCTATCGATCGCCGGGGAAGTACCTTGAGCGCTGTTCACGCCACGAACTTCTCTTCTCGCTGTGAACGAGGTTACTTGGGCTCTGACGAAAGCGCCGTTCTACATGAAATGCGCATGTCACTGGCCTAACCTTATTCCTCGTATATTTCCAATTCACACATGTTTCTACTCACACCAAGGACCATTGTATGACCTGCGACCAAAAGGTCTCGATCACAGGTCTTCTGCCTACTTAAACGTTTCGCGAAAACATCTAGTTTTAAACGAAAGAAGCTTTTTCAGGTCCAGCACATGACGCCCCTCAGTTAGTGATATGCCTATCCGATATTCCTTGATCAGAACGTCGTTTTAACATCGGCAGACCAATGGTCCTTAATAGGCACATGATATTGTCTCGTCTACAGTCTGCCCGGTCCACAATTGTGCATTATGCGCGTAACGTGATGAGGGATTCCAAGGTTAACTTGTGGACATGTCACGGAGCATTCTGACGAACGCCCTCATTTGCTACGGTGGAGTAACATAACATCCTTTGACGTTCGCCGAAAAACCGACATCAGCGTTGATCCGATCTGTCGCGAACCGAACAGAGGCGAATATTAACAACGTCCACACACGCGCATTCGCTGTTGCGTTACGGCAGAATGTGCAAGTGTGAACCCAGCTTAACAGACCCTATTCTGAAGTCAGATTTTCCCAGAATCTAATCGGGCCTAAACTTCTCCATTAATCAGAACAAGTTCCAGAAGAAATCTGTAACAGGAAAACAACATTTAAAAATATGCGCATTAAATTCCAAGTTGGGTTTTTAAGTCGTGAGCGTGAAATCGGCGTAAGACTGGTTCCTATGCCTCAAACCGATCCAACGCACGCGACTTGCTCGTCGTCCTGATGATGGAGGCAGCAAAGACCTCTGAAACGTTGGTAAACTTCAATTAGCTTACGCGGCGCTACAACCCAAGAGACAGCAACCTTTGTCTTGTGGACCATTATGCCCACAGTTGCTGTATGTTTGGTTCTCCTTTTGTAGAATTTGGGTTTCGTAAATTAAAATATGGGACGACGTTATCAGACACTGTCTTTAGGTCAGATTACACAGCGTCGAATAATATCATGAATTATGAATTTGAAAGGACATGGAATTAAGCCGTCGTGGACTTATTTAAAGTACCATCCTATAATTTGCCTAAAATAACAGAGGAAATCTGCAGAAATATCAGCTAGGTTAACCGGTTTACAGACCGAGATTTGGACTCGGAACCCTCTGTATGCGAAGCTGAAAAACTACGTTCGATCTCCAGAGGAGACTTGATGTATTTCACTGCACAGAAATGTGAAACACCCTATACTTTGTCTCCTCGTCTATTCCTCCTCAAGAAAGGGAGAACAACAATAATAAAATCCAGCAGTTGCACAATCTCTGAACGTCATCTTTTTTGAGTGGGATGAACTCCCATGATTGGGAGACTGTGGAACCTCCTCTTTTGACAAGTCGGCCAATCACGGCTATTCTCCGCTCTACTGGACAGCGAGAGATACGAGGGCGGGGAGACCCACGGCCGTTCAGCCTCTGACATTGCAACACATTCTCATGGGGAATACAAGTTCCAACTCTTCAGGGCCCAGGCAAATTGCTTTGACATTCTGCCTACCCACAGGGTCTCTTCGGATCCGCAAAACAAACAGCGATCAATTTCTCAAGCACCATCAACTAAATTATCTCTACAATGCACGCACGTTGTGTTTTCTTTGCGGTACGGACTGAAAGTACTTATGGGATTCGTAAGATTTTCAAAATAAAAAGACACCCTCTATCCCCTGGTGTAACTCAATGCTAAAAACCTGCGATTTTATCCGGTGAAGAACGCG